GTGTTGATTTTTATATTTTAATGGCTCTTCTTCCCATTGTATAATAGCAAAGGAACCTAACTGTTGTTTTTATATTTTAATGGCTCTTCTTCCTATTGTATAATAGCAGAGTTACCTAACTGTTGTTTTTTATGTTTTACTGGTTCTTCTTCATGTTGTATGATAGCAAAGGAACCTAACTGTTGTTTTTTATGTTTTAATGTTTCTTCTTCACGTTATATAATAGCAGAGGAGACTAACTGTTGTTTTTTATATCTTAATGTTTATTCTTCACGATGTATAATAGCAGAGGAGCGTAACTGTTGTTTTTTATATCTTAATGGTTCTTCTTCACGATGTATAATAGCAGAGTAACCTAACTGTTGTTTTTTATGTTTTAATGTTTCTTCTTCACGTTATATAATAGCAGAGGAGACTAACTGTTGTTTTTTATATCTTAATGTTTATTCTTCACGATGTATAATAGCAGAGGAGCGTAACTGTTGTTTTTTATATCTTAATGGTTCTTCTTCACGATGTACAATAGAAGAGGAACCTAACTGTTGTTTTTATATATTAATGATTCTTCTTCACGATGTATAATAGCAGAGGAGCGTAACTGTTGTTTTTTATATCTTAATGGTTCTTCTTCACGATGTACAATAGAAGAGGAACCTAATAGTTGTTTTTATATCTTAATGGTTCTTCTTCACGATGTATAATAGCAGAGGAGCGTAACTGTTGTTTTTTATATCTTAATGGTTCTTCTTCACGATGTACAATAGAAGAGGAACCTAACTGTTGTTTTTATATCTTAATGATTCTTCTTCACGATGTATAATATTAGAGGAACCTAACTGTTGTTTTTATATCTTAATGGTTCTTCTTCACGATGTATAATAGTATAGAAACCTAACTGTTATTTTTTATATTTTACTGGTTCTTCTTCACGATGTACAATAGAAGAGGAACCTAACTATTGTTTTTATATCTTAATGGTTCTTCTTCACGTTATATAATAGCAGAGCAACCTGACTGTTTTTTATATCTTTATGGTTCTTCTTCACGTTATATAATAGCAGAGAAACCTGACTGTTGTTTTTATATCTTAATGGTTCTTCTTCACGATGTATAATAGCAGAGGAGACTAACTGTTGTTTTTTATATCTTAATGTTTATTCTTCACGATGTATAATAGCAGAGTAACCTAACTGTTGCTTTTTATGTTTTACTGGTTCTTCTTCACGATGTACAATAGAAGAGGAACCTAACTGTTGTTTTTATATCTTAATGGTTCTTCTTCACGTTATATAATAGCAGAGAAACCTGACTGTTTTTTTATATATTTATGGTTCTTCTTCACGTTATATAATAGCAGATGAACCTAACTGTTGTTTTTATATCTTAATGATTCTTCTTCACGATGTATAATAGCAGAGGAGCGTAACTCTCGTATAATTATTTTTGTTTGTTTGTTTTACTGGTTCTTCTTCGCTGCTGGTTTTGACCTTTTTCACCATTTCATTAATGTCAGCAGTATTTCTATTATTTACGACAGACGCGGACAATAAACACTACCATAGTTGGTATTGTATTTGCCTCCTATATAAGGGTTTCAACTACACAGTGCTCCTTCAAGTGTTTTAGTGATGCAAAAATCAACAAATTTATCATCGTTGTATGCTAAACGAAAAAAGTACGATAGTTTATTGAATTACGGGGACATCAGAACGCACAGTAATAATGCTGTTACGGCATCGGAGGTCACGTGAGGCTAGTAACACGTCATGCACTTCTATAACGTTCATGAAACCTCGAGAGGTTACTAGATTCGGTATTCTTGTACATATAAGACGGTTAAGACGTGACGTCAACAATGGGTAATTGAACTGCGGACAGAGAGAAAGAGACGTATTGTTGAGTCGAGCACGTGAGACGTTCGTTGTGAATTATAGCGTTTGTTACAGCGCGACTGTGGAAATTAAGTGTATTGAAAAGTTGTATTCGGAAAGAATAAACCATTTTTATTTAAGAAAGGACTTGAGCTAAAGTTTCATCGGGAAGAACTTATACGGGAAACAAACTAACGAACGGAGGCGTAACAATACTGATAACATGTCTATACAAATCTTTCTTTACATACTATTTACTACTGATTCAAATAAGGAGGAAAGTAAAATTATCTGGAATATGCACACAGATTTCGCTTTTCATCTTTGAAAAGCCATTTTTCAAGTTTATTATGAATGTTTAGCTACAAATCTAAACAACTGATCAAACTTCGTTTTCCTTCGAACAAATCGATTGCTAACAATATCTGTTACATCTGTGTGTTTAGATTAACAATTTTGAAGGTATGCTTCAGCCATGTGTTGTGACATTGCAGTCTTTAAAGTCTTATATCCATATTCTAATGCCTTTCACACCTACCCCCAAAGACATCCTTTTTTTACTTTGAATATGATGGCTTCAGTTCACAAAGTCATTCCTGTATGTTGTGCTCAGATGTGAAACCTCTAATATCACTTTATTTCTCTGTGGGATGTGAATTGTGAGTCAGTGTTAGATAGCATTTTTTTTTTACTCGCTGCT